GAATTTAAAAACAAAATAAATCAAAAACAAAGTAGATAACTTCTCCAAAGTGTAGGGGGCTTAAAGAAAAGGTGACTCATTTGGTAGCAGTTGTAGAAGCACAGAGACATTTAATATGAGTGCATGTATCATCATTCCTTTGTATGTTGTCATTTCTCTTATTCACATTCTCCTCCTCTAATCATACTTAAGCTTGAACAGGGAGGCTGAAACGTACCTCATGAAGCATAAAGTAAACCCTTCTTTCAAATATTACAAAGTGCTTAGCTGAAAAGGAAAACTCATGGGTACCAGTGAATGATTCTGTCTGGTTTCACTGGAAATCTAGTTTCTTAGTATGTTAGGAAGGACAAACTAAAGCTGGCCATCAGCTATCCTTTCCCTTTTCCATTCTCTTCAATTTGCATGCTCCCTACAGGGGACAGAGCTGAGCAGGGGAGGGGGGGGACCTGTTGTAGCAGTTGGTTCCAGACCCTAAGCCATAGGCAAGTGTTAGCTCTCTAGGGTTCTGCCTCGTAAAACCTTGTACCAGGACCAGGTGCAGATTGTCATACACTGGTCTTGTTTCCTCACATGTGGAAAAGGTGGGATGAAGGAGAAATTACTTGTGCTTATTCATCTTGTTGGCTTTCCATCAGTGTGATAACTGGCACAAGTCATTACAGAACAAGCATAAACAGACGATGAGTAAAAAAGCAAATTTTTCTTCAGAAATAGATCTCAAAGACCTAGTTTTATTTATCTAATCGAGTGTACTGAGTCACCAAGTCATAAAAAAGAATGCTTACAAAAGACTGCCTTAACTACTGACTCCTTTGCTTTACAGTCATTTCCATTATTTGAGAAGAGCAAGCATCCTCTCTAATCTGGACTTTTTCTTTTTAATGAAGTGAAGCATTTCTGGTGTAGGAAGTGTCAGGAGGGAGGCTGGAGTGAACTGACTTGAGTGGCAGGATGCTACCAGGCACAAATGGTATACATCCTAAGAATCAGGAGCAGTCGCAGTGATAGTGGACTTTTCCTGTTCAAAGGTAACTGAATAAGGTAGCAGAAATTAAGGTCAATCCAAAAAATTCAGTGTAGCTGTCTATGCTAAAATGTAGTGACCAATATACAGTATTGTCAAAAATAGTCCTGAAATAAAATTGGCTTCCCCACAACATTCTCCAACAGCCGTCTGCTTGAGGATTTTCTGAGCCAGAGGACAACATGTATCTGTTTAATTGTCTGACTGTTTTCTTTCACTATTTTCTTGTTTGAATCTATGCAATTGTCCAATTTGGAATAGAACTATATGCTTTGAAGTTTGACCTGGCAAGCAGGGAAATTTATCATTCAGACAGAAGAGGGGACATCTTCAAAATTTTAAAGCTGAAGTGAACTGTGCAAAAGAAAATACTTTTTCAGTATTTTTCAGTAAAATACATGATGGTAGCAAATAATGTAGCAAGAGATAATTAGATATCCAAAAGACATTTGATCAACTCTCTTTAGAAAGAAATGAAGAATCTTTGGAATTCTTTCAGGTATCTTTTTCAGCTAAAATCTGGCTTGAGTGACTTTCCTTGTTTATTCCAGTAAAGTACAGATAATTAGAGGGTTGGATTGGATACTAATGTTTGCATATGAGAAAAAATTTTCTGTTAGTTAAATTATTAAGATTAGGCACTAGAGGTGTTAAAACAAGCTAAAGGAGTGAGACTGTAATAGTAAACCATTTTTATTAGTTCTCCATAAAGGGAGTTCCATAGTTTTGTGAGAGGCAAGTTCTTACCTGCAGTAGTGAATTTGTAGAGAAATAATTAGTCAACTGACACAGTCACCCAGCACAGCAGCACAACATCTCCACTGCTGGATGGTGGTTACCATTTGAGTAAAACAAATGACCAGCAGCAAGTGACTGACTGTTCTTTGCGAGGTTGCTTATTATAATCACCTTTTTTTTTTTTTTTTTTCTCTCTACCCAGTGTGACTTATCTAGTGCTGAGGCAGAGACCCAGGGTTTAATTGGTCTCACCACCAAGCAAATGCCCAAGGCTATATGAACATGGGTTGTGTCCATGTCTGTATTCAAGGTGTGCCCAAGGCATGCTTTGTGTTCAGGCCATCCGGGAGCTGTGCTGGGGTGATGTACCTGAGCTTGCAGGTAGAAGAAAGTTTAAGGATACTGAAAAATAGCCTTGAAACAAAGAATACTGTGTCAGCCTGAGATGAGGACAGGATGGACAGTTGACAATTTGACATGGCTGGAAGCTTCACCCTCAGCTCCTTCTTAAAAGATCTAATACTTGTTTGTAGTAGGGCGGCGAGAGATAACATAGCTAGCCAAGCTACTGACATACTTGAAGATGTCACCTTGGTATTGGCAGTTCAGATGCACTTCCCTACAACCAATGCAAACGGTTGAGGTACATCAAAAGGAGCTCTTCATGTGGGGGAAGTTGTGAAGAAGAAAATGAACAGGAGACAACTCGGTTCAAAATATTTATCCTTTATTCTTAGTCTGCCTTTAAGTAATGCGTTTTCTTTTTGTGGTTTTGTAAACATTCTTTAGATGATTTTTTTCCCCACAAAAATAAAAGTTCACAAATGGAATTCATTCCTCTTAACTAGTAGAAAGAAGAGCATTCTTGACTATTTCCAGTATCTGATTACTTTTGTTAGTCAAAAAAAATACCCTTATGTCATATTTTCATGAGCTTAGCCATTTGCTTTGCAGCAATGTTTGTGACTTTACAACCAACTCATCTCTTCTTAGCTCAAGGAGACTGTGGCCCCAGGCTGTAAAAATCCAGACTTAACGGCTTGAGACTGGGAGATTTGTTGATGTGCTGAGATAATGCAGTTGTGTGTATACTTTTTTCATTATAAGGTAACAGTTTGGTTTGACACCCTTGTACAGGATTAGCAAAGACTAATGCTTGATTTATGGCGAGTAAACTGCTTGAAGATGCATATGGGGTGAATAAATGCATAATTGAGAGACTCCCATTTAAACCAGTTGACTTATTTATATTATAAGTGATGACTCAACAATTTTGTTTTTGTAGTAAGACTTGTTACTGTTCTTTGTAACATTAGGCATTGCAGGTAGTCCAAATTCTGTGGTATAACAGTTTTGTCCTGAGTAGTCATTATCCCTGTATATCTATCCCTTTTACGATTAAAAGGTTTGCATTGTACAGGACTGCTGAAAATAGAGTTTAATATTTTCATGATCATCTTTGTTTTACAAAATTTAAACATAAAGGGGAAAAAAGAGGAAACCTGAAATTGTTCAGAAGGTAGTAACTCAAGAAACATTTATCAATACTTGTAATGTAAAGCTATCACCATCTAGCTCATCATCATTAATCAACCTAAATGGGGGGGAAATCACTTCAAGTACTGCCATTTCAGTGGTTTGGCATCATCTTCATAGAAAGAATCTGTTGAAGAATTATTCCAAATTAATTTTAGTGGATCTTCCAAATCACATAATTGCTCTTCATCTTTCTGTATTACTTATTTCTTTTCCTTTATTATCCTTTAGAGTAAGCATCATCAATATCAATTTGAAAATTTCTGGCTTGTTCCAAACAGACTTATTACATCCTGATGATGAAAACAACTGTGGTGTAGCTTTTCAGAAGTGCCTTGAATGCTCTGAAGTGTACTTTACCATAGATGTCTAAGCTGATCAGTCATGCTGAACTCTTTGAAGTGTGCTGTCTGGGAAATGTCAGTGTATGCGTATATATATGTAATTTGTATAGTTAAATTACTTAATAGAAACATAAATAATTCTTGTAGCAATCTATGACCCAACTGTGTTTTAAATGTTCAGATATTAGCCCAACCGTAGCTGCAGCTTGATGATAGACCCAGATCGTCTGGGATCTTCTAGCAAGTATGTAATGTAGGGTTAACTATGTCAACCTGCCAAAGATGTTGTTACAGTGTATTATTTGAACAGTTCTGCCTATTTTTTTAAGGGGCAAATGGCTCCCAAGTGGGCAAGGCTAGTGCTGTCTGCTCTAGCTTATGGAACTGGCTGAATGGGGGGCGGGGGTGCAGAACCACCCTGAGCCATCTAAAATTATGTTGCAGCATCTGGATGGAAACATCCTGAACATCCTAACCTTCTGGAAAGGTTTTTGTCTCCCTGTAGTTGATATCTACTGTTATCACTACTGACAAAAAAAAAAAAAAAAAAAAAAACCAGTCTGCTATTTGGACTGGTTTTGTGTAAGTGGAGCAGAGATGTATCTCTGTCATTCCTACAGTTACCACTCTTGCATGTATTTTTAAATACCTTTTAAAGGGGAAAGAAATCCTGCAAAAACATTACTGCCATCATCACAAATAGTTTCTTATACAGTGAAACATTGGAAAGCTGGCCCTTGGCACTCGTTCCCCCCAACCCCAGAAAGAAGCAGGAAAGGGATGAGGAGGTGAGCCCTCTTGGGCAGGCACTGCTGAGCTCAGTCAAGTGTGGCTTTCAGACTCCTTTTAAATTTGCACCCTTCAGAACAGCATAAGCTATGTTTAAAAGATCTGCAAATGGACAAACCACAGTTCTGTGATTCCTTTTTTATTGGTTCTGTCTCTCCTCATAATCAGCTTGTATCTCTCCATTTGTTATGAAACAGTTCTTAAAGAAACAGTGTCTGCTCATGCTGAATGGAGGAAAATGTGTAGGGTGTCTCTTAACACTGTAAGTGGAAGCTTCTTCTGAAGTTAGGTCAGGAGAGTTGTCTGGCACAAAGGGGAAAAAAAAAAAGTGTTTCTGGTGGAAAGAACTAATCTGTGGAGTATTTACTTGTGGCTGCTACAGGATTCAGTTCAGTTTTGTTGGTCATAAGACAATTTCAGTGTTCTACACCTGATATCCTCTTACTTCATTTTCCTCTATAAGGATTTTCAAGACCACTTTATATCATTGTGGTAGTTGGGAAAACATTTGAGAAAATCTATACTGAGATCAATAGCAAGACACTTTTGTTTTTTCTGTTTTATAGGTAGTGACAATACAATTCTGTCTCCAAGGAGAAAGTACACAGTGACTCTTCCTCCGGAGGGTTACGTTGCAGTAGCTCCAGATGCTATTAGTATTTCAGTTTCTGAAAACTCAGACTGTGGTGGTGACTCAACAGGTAAGTCTGTATGGTTGTTACTGATGAATTTTTCTCGAGAGAAACTTCTTAGCAACTCTTATAAAGTAGTTCCAAACTGCACCAATTAAGTATTTAAACTGTTGCTGCCAGTGGGTGTCACTGTTTTGCAACACAAGCAAAATAAGGATGTACATCCCTATGGGTTCATTTCCATTCTTTGAGTTTGAAGACCAGATTCAACATTTGGTTACAGCCATAGGCCACCACTGATCTTACTGATGTCACATAAAATGTAACTGAAGATAGTCTTCAGCTCCTCCCACCCCAGTGCCACATGGATAGTCATATTATACCTGCTTATAGCCATAGTATTTTTAAGAGTAAATGTTAGCTAAAGATGTTTTAGTAAGTCTTACTCCTGATGTTCCGAGGAATTGGAGAGACTTTCAAATTTACCTCTTTCAATTAGAACAGACATTCACCTGATTGGAATTGGTGGGGAGAGATATCAATCTTTTAGAGATCAGAGACTTTCTGATGAGAAACTGTGACCAGGTAACTTCAGAACCACTCTTTGGTATTGTCAAAGGATACAGAAGAAGCAGCACAAGATCTGTGAAGAAATGGCCTCTAAGCTGACCTCAGTTAAAAGCATGATTTTTTGAATGACATTGCCAAGTGAAATTGATTGTCTGTCTTGGAAGAAAAGTAAGTTTAGATAAGACAAATTAATTTCATTTTTTTAACTGCTATGTGCCTGTTGGATGAGTGTTTGTCCAAAATTGTTTATCTCTGTCATTTGCTGCTAGGTACAGTCTACAGCAAAGAGAATAATTAAGGTGAGCCTGCTGAAGTAAAATGCTTGATAAGCAGTGTGTATTAAGCTACTATATCTATTTCAACTTAGAGACTGCCTAAATTTAAGGAAAACCTGAGATAACAACCTGCTGACAAAGGCAAGTGCCCCTTGCCTTTGAGAACAGTACCCACAGTGGTGAATTTTTGGCTTGGAAATTGGGTCTGTCCTCAATTCTGAGCTCCACTGAGAATCTGAATGCAAGTAAAACTATCAAAGTAGCCCAAGAGACTGAAGCAAAGTGCAGCATGACTGGTGGCACATCACAAATGTATTTTCTTGGTGTGAAAAGGTTTAAAGATGTTTCTTGGACTGAGGAAGAAGTAACTTTATCCAGGTAATGTAACAGCAGATCTTGATGTTCTTGGGATTATTGGAAGGAAGATGTTCTAATGCACAGCTTCCAGGTTGTACTTCCCTTTGTGTTAGATAGCATTCATGTTCAGCATTCAGAGTCTGTTTCTAGACTATCCTTAAGTGTGTGATTTGTTACTGCTTTACTTGCTCATTTTTAGGTTAATCCTTTCCTCTAGTATTTCAAAATAAATGTCCTCAACCATGATAGCAACAAGTAGTGTTCTGGTGTTGCTTAGTGACAGTATTGACTGCTGGAGGGTGATCTCTTTTAGCTGATCCCAGTCTCAGTGTTCTGGAAGAGTAGGTTTTGGACTGCAGCCACTTTTTTAACAGTTAACGAATGCATCTGGAATTTTGGGCCCCTTAGTTTTTTGATTCATTTGTTACCTGACTTTCCTAGTTTATCACAGAATCAAGAACAGTTAGGTTTGAAGGGTTCTTTGGAAGTTTTTAATCTATATTCTCTTTGCAAGGTAGGTTTGAGTATAAATGTCATTCTTGCCAGGTATTTGGCTATTTTGTTCTTAAAAATCTCCCTGTTAAGGAGTCTTTTCTTACATGCCATTTTCCATTTGCACTGGTGTTTCACTACCGTTTAATGCAACATCTTTTTTACTGCAGCTTAAGGCCCTTGTTATTTGTTCTGTCTAAATACAGGTTGCAAAATTAGAGACCTGTGGTAATCCTGCAAGGTTGAGGGGCGTGGTTAACTTTACTGGTGTATGTTTTATAGTATTTAATTTAAGTATATACATAAAATCTAGTGCAGGATGAAGGCTGTGATTTCGGGCAGTGCCCATAAAACTCAAAAAGAATGGTTTAGGCAATCACACCATTAGTTTCCTCACCTAGATTTACTTGTGTGTCCCTTACTTAGGTCTTTTTTGAAAGGATAAATGAAGGCTCCAGTAAGAGCCTTTCACACTGAAGAAAACAGGGCACGCATGTCTGTATGTGTGAGCATTCCATATATATAAAATCTCATTTGTTTAAAACTGCCTCAAGTATTCTCAAAGATCTAGCTCCATAAGGCAGAAATGCTGATCTAGTGTTTGCACTGTTTCACTCCTAGGACTGTCTATATGATACATTTGGAAGGGCAACAGACTAATTTCTGCTGCATTTCCTAAAATGGAGCATGTTGTCTATGTGCTAGGTAACAAAAGGCTGATTTGCTAGCCTTTGCTAGCCTTTGGACCTACAAGTAAGGGAAATAAATTCCATGGAAGCTCAAAGAGGCAGAAACCTGACTCAAACTAATCTCACTGTTTATCAAACTTGTCTCATGAAAACAATCTGACCGTACTTTGGGTTTAAAATTTTTCAGTTAGAACTTAGTTATATATCAGTGTATATGTCTTTTCAGTAAATTAAGAAAACTAAATCCATGTCTATCTGAATTAATGTAACAAGATTATCAAGAGGACTAGATATACCGTTGCTGATATTTTGTTGTGTTAAATTCAGCTGTGGAAGAATTAAATACTCAGTCACTAGAATATGAATTTAGACAGCAACTGGTTTTGAGAAGTTATTTTAAAGTTGAATAAAGTTGAATATAGACTTCCCAGAGCTGGGAGGAATAAAGCTGCTCTTCCAGGTTTATTTTCTTCATGTAAGCAGGTAGTACTGAGAAGAAAAATCAAAGACTGCCTCGTCTTTAAGACAATAATGAAAACTAAATTTATCCAATGTTCTTTGAATAATAAATTGGAATTAGGTGTCTAAATTTTTTTAAAACTCAATTGACTGTTTTGGAGGAATTGGGTAACTATGCTGGTCTGATCATGGCAGTCTTCTATTGACTGGATTGAGTAGCAGGAATTAGTTAAGGGAGGAAATAATGCACAGAATTTCTCCTGACTTTCATATTCTGCACATATTAATTTGTAACTTCCTTTTAGCATACACTTTATACTTTTGACAAGGGAGTTAAAAATGTGTAATGTTCTAAACTACAGATAAGTTATGCATGAAATTCTGGTCATAAATTCAATGTGCTCATAGCTTAAAGCTTTTAAATCAGAGCTCAAAATTAATTTATTTTTATTATCTATTTATTGAGAAATACTTCATCAGGATTAGTGACTTGAGAGATCATCTTTAAAAGGCTGTTCTGTTTGAAAAGAGAAGCCAGGAAACTTTAATTATATTCTTTAACTTACTAGGAAGTGGCATCTTCATTTTGATATATTTTGAGTAGTAGTTTCATGAGTTGAAGTAAAATTGTGGAGTTCTTGTTTCCTATTTTAAGACTGGTGATTCTGTATCTTGCATTAAAATATGAATGCTAAAAATGTAACTCTATTCCTTCTAAAAGATAAATTTCTATTTCTCTTCTTGGATACTCTAAGCTATGATAACAGGATATAACATAAAATTATTTGTGCGCAAAACAGGCTGCTGGAGTATAATTTCTATCTGAAGTGCTTTAATATTAAATCCAGATTTTTATGTAGAGTTGCAAAGTCATATTTGGTGTCTCTCGAAGTCAGGGCAGAGCAAACTCCAGACCCTGAGACTGCGGGAGATAAAAGACTCTGCACGTAGGAGTTTAGGAATGTGCAGGAGTTGAAGACACATGAAAAAATAGATAAAGAAATTCAAAGAAAATTCTTAGTGTATTTTTTTGTTTTGAACTTAATAACCCATTCCTGTTGTTCTTGTGATGTCTCATTTTTCCTTCATGGTTTTTGAACTACAATGCAGTGTTCATCTGGTAATACCTTCTTGATCTTCATGACAACCTACCCAGCTTTGGTGAAACCCTTTATACAGACAAAAGGAGTAAGACCTACCTGTGCTTTGTCCTAGAAATGTCCTGTTTGGATATTCAAGTTGGACAAATAGAAGCAAATGACTTTTTTTTTTTTTTCCTCCCCTCCTACCTTTTAGCAGCTGGCAAGTCTGAAATAACTTGGAATGTAGTACTTCTGTGGGTCACGTCCTCACCTAGTTAAATTTGCTGGTTGGCCTGAGGCAGTGCAATTGTAGAAGATAGATGTACCCGAGTTACTTGTTAATGTAGCTGCCCTTTGGACTTTTGCTTATTTTGTTTTTCTCAGGGCAATCCTGAAAGGAATCGCTAGCGCTGCAGCAAGAGGTTCAAGCTGAGGGTGTGAATTTAGAGATCTCTCCATTTACATAGAAGTGAATTAAGGTATTCAAATGAGTTGCATCCCAGAAAATTATTTTGTGTCAGTGAAAGATGGTGACATTGGGAAGGGGTGCTTAGCAGACCTCCTAAAAAATACTGCATTTCTTCAGCTTGGTTCTGCTGGCAAAAATGTTTGGACTTCCTCATCAGCAAAAGACAAATTTGTTAAAGGCATAATCAGGTCATCTCTTATCTGTCTGTACTGTCTTGATTCATTTAAGGCTTAAGGCAGCCATTTTAGGAAGAATTAATAATGCTTAAGCCTATGTTTGTTGTTGAAGAGACGCTAGTATAAATCATGTTTTGACTACTTATGTTCTTGGCGGGTGGTTGGGAATGTGATACATTATAGAACCAATATACTCAGTACACCAAGGGAACAGTATGTTTTAAGTAGCTCAGGCAGTCAGCAAACCTTTGCCACTGCTAGGGTAGCACCAGTTGTAAAAGTCAAGCATTACGAATCTTTTTGTAGCCTTCAAACCAGAGGGATCATTAGACCATGTAATTTAATCTTCTGTACCTGTTAGAGAGGTCTTACCCAGTATTGATACACCCTCTATTACCCTGGTCTTACCCCAGCAGTTTGTGTTAAAAAAAACCAATCACACAAACTGTGCACATTTCAAAGATATCACACAGGCTCCACTACTTTCTGGTAATTTGATC